AGCTCCCCCATAAACACCTCCCCTCATCCCTCCCTGCCCGGCTGGAAGTGCCTACTTTCTCCCTTTGGGCCTAACGCAGCCTGTATCTTCCTCAATTATATTTCTTGGCACATTTCGCTGCAATTATTTGTTTGTAAATGTGTCTGTCTCACCAGCTTTCAGAACAAACGGGACTCGACCTCAGCACGGCGCCCGGCACGCAGGGAGGGCTAAGTGAGTGTCCGCCTGCCACATGGCCCAGCAAGGACCACGATGTGCAAACTCACGGTCACTATCGGGGCAGAACTTATACACAAAAGACAACGTGCCCACCTCCGCTGTACTGTAGTAACGAACGAGACCCTAATTTCAAAGTATCACAGAAAACAGGTAAGTGGTGAATATATTATCCATATTCTGTATTACAGGCACGTGAATTAGCGCATAAATCGCAGAATTCATTTAAAGACCCAAAACTGTCTTTAGTTAGCACAAGGTCATAGGCAGAGACGATACTTTCGTTCGTCTACCTACGAGGAAACCTCTGGTGTGCCTTGCTATGTCTCAGAAGCGCTGTGAAAGGTAAGATCTAACATAGTGCGGTTGTGCGCTTTGTTTCTGAGCTGCAGAGCTTATCAAATTCCGCGTGTGACTGGCAGTCGACCTCAGGGACCACACAGAAGGGCCAGGCGGCCTCCTCTTTGGAGCGGGAGGAGCCCCGGCCTGCACACCCACCCTGCTCTCTGCCGAGGAGGAAGGGCCCTCACACGGCTGTCACCAGACTAGGCCTTTCTCCTCCCTCTCCCTGGACTGGCAAGTAAACCCAGAGGGCAGAGGGGACAGGAACAGTCTAACACCTGGTGGACAGCAATTCTCAAAGCAGCTGGATCTCTCCAGTGAGACACTGTCAAGGGCCTGTCGCCTAGGGAGAAAAAAAGAAAAAAAAAAAAAAAAAAAAAAAAAAAAGAAAACCAAGTTGATGAAGCATCACCCTGGAAAGGATGTGACACTTGAGAAAGGTCCCCAGAGGAGAGAGAGCAAGGTCGGACTGCAGATGGGGAAGGGAAGGGCCTGGTCATGTTGCACGGAGATGCTTCTGTTCCCCACGGCGGGCCCTGCCTGCACGCCTCGGCAATAATGACCACGAAGGCCGACTGTCTCCCATTTCAATCAGATGCTCTGATTTTTAACTTATTTTTTAACTTTAGGGGGGCAGGGGGAAGGGAGAAAATGCCAAGCAGGCCCCAAGCTCAGTGTGGGGCCCGACGCAGGGCTCAATCCCATGACAGGGGCATCATGACCGGAGCTGAAATCAAGACTCAGACGCTCACCCGACGAAGCTACCCAGTTGCCCTACTGATTTTTATAAAAAAAACACACAGAAAAGTACAAAGTAGAAGAATAACAAATATTGGGGCGCCTGGGTGGCTCAGTCGGTTAAGCAGCCGACTCTTGATTTCAGCTCAGGTCACGATCTCACAATTTGTGGGTTTGAGCCCCATGTCGGGCTCTACGTTCACTGTCTGGACCCTGCTTTGGATCCTCTGTCTCCCTCTCTCTGCCCCGCCTCCGTGCCGTCTCTGTCAAATAAATAAATGTTTAAAAAAACTGAAGAAAAAAACCCAAACAAACACCTGGGGCGCCTGGGTGGCTCAGGTGGTGGGGCAACCGGCTTGGGCTCAGGTCATGATCCCACGGTTCGTGAGTCTGAGCCCCGCAGTGGGGTCCGTGCCATCAGCACAGAGCCTGCTTCGGTTCGATCCTCTCTCTCTGTCCCTCCCCGCTCGTGCTCTCTCTCCCGCTCAGAAACAAACAAACAGACGAATGAATAACAAATACGTACCTACCGCCCAGTGAACCAAACCCAGGGGCAGTTGCTCCCGGTTCCGGCGGCCGTGAAGCCTACAGGACTGCCGGGGACAGTACGCCTCTCGGGCACCGCGTCTTCGGGGAGCCTGGCTGCTGGGCGCACAAGACGGAAACAGAGGCCAGTACCCACCCTGCACCAGTGTCACCTGACCACACGCCGAGGTGAGGTCTAGATTAAAGGCTCTCGGGGACAGGCTACTGTTGGCCTTATGACTGCCACGCCCCCAGCCTATCACACCCGTGCCCAGCACAGAAGGTGCTCCTTAAGTGTTGGATGAATGAATGGAGTTAGAAAGACACAGACTGGCTTCTGAGGCCCAAGTTGCTCGCAGGGATTACTGTGAAGACGGGCTGTGGAAGCCTTAACCTCTGCGGCTTATTTCCATGTCCTTCCCTGCACGAGGCCTCGACCTCAGCTGGGAGGCAGTCATGACTGCCCCCCACATGACTGTGGAACAAGGCAGACAGGAGTCTGGCAAAACCACCCCCACACCACCCTCCCTGACGGAAGGCTTACCAAGCAAGAGCTCTGAGTAATCAGCTGTGGATGCCTACATGTGCCTCTCTGGTCAATTCTCGACGGGTAGTAGTGATTCCATGTTCTTTTTTTTTTCATTTTTTTTTTTTTCAACGTTTATTTATTTTTGGGATAGAGAGAGACAGAGCATGAACGGAGGAGGGGCAGAGAGAGAGGGAGACACAGAATCGGAAACAGGCTCCAGGCTCCGAGCCATCCGCCCAGAGCCTGACGCGGGGCTCGAACTCATGGACCGCGAGATCGTGATCTGGCTGAAGTCGGACGCTTAACCGACTGCGCCACCCAGGCGCCCCAATGATTCCATGTTCTTTACAGGGACAAAGACTCAAACCCCAGTGTTACACGGAGATGCTGTATTCCCTAGCCGTTCCGGATGTTCCTGCTCTTTAGAAGATTAAGATTTCTTTCTGTGACAATTGCATCTTCCAGTTCTGTCGACTGTTCCACCGTTATTTTATTTTATTTTATGTATTTTAACGTTTATTTATTTTTGAGACAGAGAGAGACAGAGCATGAATGGGGGAGGGTCAGAGAGAGGGAGACACAGAATCTGAAACAGGCTCCAGGCTCTGAGCTGTCAGCACAGAGCCTGACGCGGGACTTGAACTCACGGACTGCGAGATCATGACCTGAGCCGAAGTCGGCCGCTTAACCGACTGAGCCACCCAGGCGCCCCTCCACCGTAATTTTTGAAGTTAACTTGAAAAAGCATGTCAAGGTGAGAAATGTCCCCGGTTGGATCCAGCGATGGGTATTAAGGCGAGTGGGCAAAAGCTTCAGGGGCAACAGGACACCTGCATCGCCTCAAAGCACCCCCACCCCACCGCGTATATGACAGTACCCGGGAGCTTGACAGCTGAAACCCAGCAGCCACGGCCTTTACTGAGCCACGAAGGCTCGCGTCGCTACGAGGGGGCACACCATCGCTTCCGCAGTTTTCTGGCCAAAAACGAATAATCTTGTCCTAACAAGGAGGAAATACCAGACAAACCCAAGTAGGGACATTCCACAAAATAACGGATCGGTGCTCTTTAATGGTGTCAAGGTCACAGAAACCAAGGAAAGATGGAGGACCGTCACTGACTACAGACTAAGGCAATGTGGGGTCCTGAGCCAGATCCTGGCACACAGGGAAGTCCCCAGTGGAAAACGGTGCAACCAGAAAAAGGTCTGTTGTTTCATTCACGATATGGAACCAACCTAAGTCTCCCGGTCACGGCGGCCGTGCTACGGCTGTGGGCCAGGTCAGCCTTAGGGGCGACGGGGTGAACAGCATATGGAAACTGAACGGAAAAAACGACCAGGCAGACCGCATAAATACATGACAAAAATACAAATAACTCATTAGAAAAAAGTGGCAAAAGCACCAAAGGCATATCCCAGAAGGCACACAGAGCCGATAAGCATCATCAGGGGAATTTCAATGACACCACGAGAAGCTACTATCACAATTTTAAAGCCAGGTAACACTAGTATCAGGGAGGACGAGAGCTAACGGGGACCCTTTTCTGCTGCTGGCAGACGTGTTACAGGGACGACCACCCTGGAACATGACCTGCTGCGTCTGGTCCATTTGGAGGCATAGGCGTCCGCGGCCTGGGCAGCCCTCCTCACCCGGTACGTGTCGCAAGGAAACCCCCGAACACACGCGTCTGGAGACACACAAGGGAGACCACAGCAGTTCTGTGTGGAGTGGCAAAACACGGAAGACGGTTCCCAAGCACAGCTTTGAGAGAATGGACGGATCCTGTTTATTCCCACCGTGGACAGACGGCCGCAGAGAAAATGAAGGAACCACAGCCACACCAGCAACGCGAATGAATTCCGAAATCGCAAGTCACAGGAGAGCATATTCACCATGAAACCATTTATATAAAGTTTGAAAGTAGACAAGACGGTTTAAAAATACATCTCGTAGCAAAACTGTCAAGAAAGGGACTGATGGTTCAAAACGTGGGGTCCCGGCTCACAGGGCAAAGGGAGTGAGAGGCACAGGTGCTTCTGGCCCCCCGGGGTGTGGACGGACGGACGGATGGCGGGCACAGCTGCTCCTGTTACAGGGGAAGTCTGAAGCCCTGTCTAGAGCGAATGAAGGGTCGTTAGGAAAAAGCCAAACGCAAACAGGCGTGTCTTCAATGAATCTAAATGACAAAGACGACCGGGCATGTTTCAAAACTTTTGGACATTAAAACGGAAAGAACCCAAAGAGAGCAAGTGGACGGTTCGGATTAGCAAGCAAGGAGCTGATCTGGAAGGAAACAGTCACCACCTGCCAGCCAGGAGCTGCACCGTACAAGACGGAAAGCGGTTTCAAGGGGACGTAACTTCCCACCATGAACAAGGCCTGAACGTTTTAAGCTCCTTGAGTTACACGGAGCTTTGACATACTTTGTACTCCTTGCTCTTACTTAGCCAGAACGAACGAATGTTGCCCCTGCTGAACCATTTAGATGAAAAATCACCTCGGTGTTGCTGTCGGTGGTGTTCAATATTAGGGTGTACAGCAATTTGCAGCTTGCCTGTACTTTGACAGTTTTTAAGGAACTTCTGAAGGCCAAGACCGGTCATGAAAATCACGATCGTGCAGCCTGGGGGAGGGCTCACTCACCAGCTGGAACTCGCTCCTCCGGCTAAAAGCCTCCCTGATGCCGGAGTCCCTCCAGAGAGCGCTCAGGGCGGGGACGTACAGCTGGAAGGTGGCAGGCTCCACGGGCAGCCCCGCCTTGTTCTCAAAGGCCAGGAGAAACATGCCGTGCTTCTCATTTTCCGAATACTGCCATGGGATGCCCAGCTTGTCTCGCGCATCCACGAGGACCCGTGAGCCCTAGGAGATAAAGGAGACAGAGAGGGTTTAATTACACTCCCGAGACCGCACCACGACAGAGAGCCTCGGCACAGGCCTTGACCGTCACGCAGCAGCAAACTCATAGGCTATCAACCAGGGTCTGTCTCCTGGTTCGTTTGGTCAAGTCACCCGTGTCTCAACTCGCTGAAACCTGGCAGCTCCTCGACACCAGGAGGACACGACGGTCTGAGAGCCTGGAGCGAATGGGCGAGCCACCAACAGGTGGCCAGTAACCACCAGACGGGACAAAACTGAGATGCACAAGCTGAGCGGCCTGCCCCCCCGAAACAGGGGCCCGTGGGCACATCCTGGATTGAATGCCGCCACTGTTAGTGATGAGGAGAGGCTGTTTTTCATTATTTGGCTTAGTTCCTCACTGTCAGAAATAGAGTATTCTTGGCCCCTTTCTTACCTCACAGACAGGTTAAGAAAGGGGATGGAGAAACAGCCTCAACCCAGGTAGGTGTCCAGTCTGCGGGGGACACTGTCCTGGGGATAACGGCCCCCCCTGGGCAGTAACGAGGTCCAGTTCATCATTCTCACCCCAGGGCTTCCAAATTAGCAACACCATATGGAAGCAAGTCTCTGAGTTCTTCTGAGGGGACCCAATGAACGCTCTCTGCCACCGTGAATCCTGCGGGGGGTGGGCAAAGACCAGCGGGGGGCCTGTCTGCAAAAGTCTTCACAGGCTCAGGGTGGTCTGGTGGGGCCTGGAACGGCAGGGGGCAGTAACTCGTCTGCTGGCACAGAGAACACCAGGACCTCACTGCTACTGGGCACTTGCTTTAAAAAAACAGTAATAATCAGGGCACCTGGGACGCTTAGTCGGTTGAGCGTCTGACTTTGGCTCAGGTCACGATCTCGCCATTGACGAGTTCGAGCCCCGCATCAGGCTCTGTGCTGACAGCTCAGAGCCTGGAGCCTGCCTCGGATTCTGTGTCTCCCACTGTCTCTCCTCCAACCCTCCCCCGCTCCTGCTCTGTCTCAAAAATAAACATTAAAAGATAATAATAGTAACGGCTTTATAGGATATATGTCACATACAATCCCCCCATTTAAACTGTACAACTCAGTGGAAGTTTCACGTCCAACAACTTGGGTCAGAGAGGATTCATTCATCATCAGTGTGCCTTCCTTGTATCCCTGCTGTAGCCTGTGTGGTGTCTACAACTTTCATTTCTGCATTGAAACACTGAGCCGGATGGTAACGGGGACCAAAAAGAGTAGTGCAATTTGTCCTCCAGGTCTAGACCGGGACTGTCCGGTGACAGATGTTCCTGCGAGTTCCCTCCTCGGGGCCCACACTCGTCTGCCATCCGTAACCAGGCCCATTTCTACTGATCCACAAACACATGTCCAAGGCTCACAGGCACCATGGGTAAACAGGTTTATGAAGCAGAGTCCGATCTGTAGAAACTCGGAATCTAGCTAGGGAAACAGACCTATGAATTAAAACAATTGATAACCATTCACCATAAAAATACTCAGAAAACTAGGAATAGAGGAGAACTTCCTTAACTTTGAGAAGACTCACAAAAACTGACAGCTAGTGTCATAATTAACAGTGAAGGACTGAATCCTTTTCTCTAAAATCAGGAACAAGAGAAGGCACCCACTTGTGGAGGTGCCAATGAATACAGTACTGGTAGTTCTAGCCAGTAATGGCAAGGTAAAGACATACAAGGTATAGAGATCAGCAAGAGGGAAAAATGAAACTGAGTCTATTTGCAGATAAAATGAAATGATGGTCTATGTGGAAAATTCCAAGGAATCTACCAAAAAAACTTCCTCGTGAATTCATTCGGCAAGGTCGCCGGATGTAAAATTAACCTATAGAAATCAACTGTCTTTCTACTTACTAGCAACGAACGTGTGGAAACTGTAATTTAAAATGCCGTATCAACAATCACTAAGAAAGTAGAAATCGTATAAAACATGTCCAGGACCTGTATGTTGAAAACTACAAAATGTTGACGAAAGAAACCAAAGTCAACCTAACAAATGGAGAGACATACCATGTTCATGGATTGGGAGTTTCAAAATAGTAAATATTTTCTCTAAATTGATATACAAGTCTAACACAATTTCTATAAATCCCAGCAAGATCTTTTAGGGGCACGAATATGGATATATGAGTGCTGTATATAGGTGTGTGTGTGTGTGTGTGTGTGTGTAGCTATCCCAAAATTTTTGGAAAGGTACTAGATTAGCTGCAACAATTTAGAAAAAGAAACTCAGTGAAAGGAATCACTCAACTCAATTTCAACACTTACTATATAGCTATGGTAATCAAGATTGTGCGGTACTGGTGACAGGACAGGAACAGACACATAGATCAACTGAACATAACTGAGAACCCAGAGATGGCCCCACATAAGTGTGGCCCACTGAGTTTTATAAAGATCCAATTACAGAGAGGGAGAACAGCCTTTTCAACAAATGATGCGGGAGCAACTGGGCATCCACAGGCAAAGGAAAAAAGAACCCTGACCTCCAACCTCACATTTTATACAGAATCCACTCAAGGCAAAACTAGAACATAGGAGAAAATCTTCCGGATCTACAGTTCGGTGAATAGTTCCTAGGTGACGCAATGCATAATTTAAAAAAGAAAACATCAAGAAACTGGACTTCATCAAAATTAAAACTGTGCTCTGCAGAAGACTCTCTGAAGAGGCTGAAAAGATGCTCTATGGACTAGGAGGCAATACCCACCACACATCTGACAAAGGACGTGAATCTAGAATTTATACAGAACACTCAAAACTCCACAGTTAGAAACACAATCCAGTTAGGAAATGGGCAGAAGACATGATGAGACGTTTCGCCAGAGAGCACGCAAGCAGGTGAGAGACCAGATGTTCAAGGCCACCAGCCATCAGGGCAAAGCAGGTTAAGACCAGAGAAGGTACCGTTACACAGTATTCAAACAGCTGAAACGAACAAACAAAACCAGTGACAACACCAGAGGGTGGTGAGGGCACAGAGGTATTTAATCTCTCATACATTGTTGACGGGATCTAAGGCGGCACAGCCACTCTGGAAACCGTTTTCCGGTTTCTTAAAAAATTAAACCTGTATTTATCAAACAATCCAGCCATCTCACTCCTGGGCACTGACCTCAGAGAAATGAGAATTTACGTCCGCACAGAAACATGTGCAAGAATGTTCATAGCAGCTTTATTCATAACAGCCTAGAGCTGGAAACAGCCCCAAAGTCCTTCAATAGACAAATGGTCACACGCTGTGGGGCCCCCGTACCAGGAAAAAGGACATGGCAGTAAAAGGGAATGAACACTTGATTCACGGAACAACCTGGATGGGGCTCAAAAAAAATTATGCTGAGTAAAAAAAAAAAAAAGCCAGTCTCAGAAGATCACATGCTACGTGATTCTGTGTAGACTATTCTTGAAGTGACAAAATTATAAAGACAGAACACAAATTAGTGGCTGCCAGGGACTGGGAACGGCAGAGGAAGCAGGGGGGTGGGGGACGGTCCCAGGGTAGCTGGAGATCCACACACACACACACACACACACACACACACACACACACACACACAGTAACAATGTCAATTTCCTGATCGTGATAGTGCACTGGAGTTCTAGAAAATGTAACCACTGGGGAAAACCGTGATACCTCTCCCCTGCTATCTTTGCAAGTGCCTGGGAACCTAGAATTAGCTCAAAATATATTTTTATTTTATTATTTTTTAAGTTTATTATTTATCTTTGAGAGAGCGAGCACGAGTGGGGGAGGGGCAGAGCGAGAGGAAGAGAGAATCCCAAGCAGGCTTTGCGCTGTCAGCATGGAGCCCGACCAGGGTGGGGGGGCAGGGAGGCGGGGGGCTCGATCTCATGAACTGTGAGATCATGACCTGAGCTGAAATCCAGAGTCAGACACTTAACCAACTGAGCCACTCAAGCGCCCCCAAAACGTTTTTTCAAAAGCTAACTAGCAGCCATGACAGTAAATGTTCTGATTTCGTGGTATGGAAAGGTAAGGTTTACCGGGGGTGGGGTAGGAGGGTGGAGATTAGCAGGAAAATGAGACGGATGGGCCTGAAGCGCAGGTTAATTTCAACCTGGCACCAATGGACTAGAACCCACCCAGAGGAAAACAGGACTTGAATAAATCCTCAGCTCTCCTTCCTCTGGGTTCCAACCACCCCATTCCTCCCTCTGGGTCCTTCCCGTCTCCCCATTTTCTGACAACGTCACACCAAACTCCCACCTGCCCAAAAGGACAGTCTCGAAAAGCTTCAAGAACCCAAGAGAACAAAGATGTTTCACATTCTCCACATTATGCGGGACAAGAAACATCTGAGTACAGAGAAGGCAGAAGAGACCTCTCTGCTGAGGTTCTTGGCACAGGGTCACAGCACCCTTGTGGAAACCAGACAAAGGCTCCCACCGTCCTCGCACACAAGGCCCCTCTTCCGGCAGAGGGGCTGGGTCGGGATTCGAGCCCTCCCCCGGCCCCAGCCCCAGGTCAGGTGACCAACCCAACTACCTCTCCTGAAAATCCAGCCCGCTCAAGTTCAACTCAGGAAATGCGGTCTGACACACAGTGCCCTTCTGACACATCAAAAAGTCTGGCTTGACAAGGAGCACATCCTCACTCACACAGTGAACTGAACCTCTGCTCCCGGGGGGTTTCATTTTCATGTGTCAGAGATGAAGGCAGGGAATCAAAACGGACTTGGAGGCTCGAGCGATCGTTTCCAAGACTGCTTTCAACACTGCACCAACCAGGCCTTGCCTAATTATTGGGGTGAACACAAGTTTGGCTTAAAACACCCTGGTCTATCCAAAAGCAGCCTGTGTTCCCACCACACACTACCACCCAGGCAAGCTTGGACACGGTCCAATGAACTTCACCCAAACACGAAGAAAAGGCTCCTTATTTCTCTCTCTTTAAAAACCCAGGGAAAGTGAGAAAACTGCTGACGAACTTTGAATTACTCTGGTTAGCTAGAG